ATTCTATGCAGAATAACTTGTTAAACGATTGTAAAGTTGACAGTAATCAGTTTTGGAAATCTATGGGAAAAATTGGGATAGGCTATTCGAAAAATAAACAAATACCAATGGAAGTACATTTGGATAACGGTGATATATCGTCTACTGTCACAGATGTACTCCATAAATGGAAAACGGATTATAGTTCTCTCTTTAAAGAGTATGATGCACCTCCTCTTTTAGATTTTTTGCAAGACCCTGATTCTTTTGATAATGTTTCTTTTAATGAACGAATATCAATTTTTGAGGTTAAAAAGGCCATTTCTAGTGCAAAAATAGGAAAAGCTTGTGGGGCTGATAATATCCCGACCGAGGTTTTGAAAAATGATACGACAGTGTATTTTCTTTATGTATTATTTAATGTTATTTTTGACAGTGGAGTTGTTCCCGGGGAAAGTGTATTATTAACCCAATTCCCAAGTCTTCTTCTGCGGACCCTAGCGATCCTCTTTCATATAGAGGTATATCTTTAGCTCCTGCAGTATACAACTTATATTGTTCGGTTCTTAATGATCGTCTTAGTACCTGGGCTGAAGAAAATGAAAAACTGGTAGACGAGCAAAATGGGTTAAGAAAGAAACGCACAACTATTGATCAAATTTCTTCATTGAGTAATCTAATAGATACTAGGAAAAAGCTAAAGCAATCAACATTTTGTGCATTTATCGACTTTAGAAAAGCTTATATTAATAGAAATAAGTTATGGAAAAAACTTCATGATAGTGGTATATCAGGGAAAATGTTAACAGCCGTAAGATCACTATATTCTAATGTCTCGTCATGTGTTCGTGTAAATTCTTATAAAACTGACTGGTTCAGTGTACATTCTGGACAAGGCTGCACCCTGTCCCCTCTGCTGTTCAATCTGTACATTAATGACCTTGCTGTGTATCTTAAGTCTTTGAATATTGGTGTGTCTATAGAAAGTGAAATTATAAGCATTTTGTTATATGCAGATGATATTGTTCTGTTAGTTGAAAATAAACATGATTTGCAAGTTTTGCTAAATGCTTTGAGTGAATGGTGCAATGTTAACGATTTGCAAATTAATTGTACAAAAAGTAATATTGTTCACTTTAGACCACCCTCTGTACAAAAGGTTGATTTTGTTTTCAAATGTGGTAATGAAACTCTTGATATTGTTGATAGATATTATCAATAGGACCACGAGTGTTACTGGTAGAGGTGGTAACAAGCTTAGAATTATTGTACATATAAGTCAGAATTTACCACAGAGCACTATTGTAATATGATTATGCCTCCCCAGCATCGCTCAGCATACTGTAAATTTCGTTGTGGGGTAGCGCCTATTCGAATTGAAACTGGGAGATTCGAAAATTTAAATATAGAAAATAGAACACGTCCGTTTTGTCAAGCAATTGAAACTGAAAGTCATGTTATTTTAGATTGCCCTTTGTACAATGACCTTAGAATTTCTTTGCTCAATACAATTTTGTCAATAGAACCAAACTTCTACGATATGCAGGATATTGATAAGCTGAAACTTGTATTTTCAAATCATTCACTTATTAGAATTTGTGCCAAAACCTGTAATGATATTTTAAATAAGAGACAATTTTATCTGTGTAAATAATGTAATTTCTTTTTATGTGATATCTATATCTTTTAACTTCTCCTAGGAAGTATAGATGCTAATCTATTCATCCACGATCTGATCGGGGTGATATCTGATTCTTTAACACATTTTTTAGAACTGCGCAATAGTGACTTTTTTCCACATTCAGTTTTTTATCGTCGTGTATTTTAATGATTTTTATTTAACGTTTAGCGTCTGCTTCTTAGCTCTAACGATATAAGCATGCATATACATGTAGTATATATAGCAGTAATTACGTAAGTCTTTTTATTCGTTGAATTGTTACTAAAGTCTCTTATAAATCAATATATGAGTGGCAATGTACTTTTTAAATCATGTTATATGTGTTCTATGTATATTGTTGTATGTATGTACATTGATGAGACTAAAATAAAGATTGAATATATATATAGAGAGAGTCTTAACTCTATGTTTTTATAATGCAAATGATGTCAGGTGCAATATCATTTTTACCGAGTTGAAAAAGCGGCACGGGTATGTGATAAATCACATTATTATATAATCTATAAATAGCATTAAAATGCATTTCCCTGATGGCTAAAAAATACATTTTCAGAGTAAATTTTCACCAGTTTTTCTTCTAAAAATAGATTTTCTGGAAATTTCCTCCTGAAAGATACGAGACTAAGATGACGTGACGTCACGCCAAGTTTGTTGTACCATGTACATATTATTCTGGGGAAAAAATGGATGATTCTTAAATAAGAGTCAAATTAGTCTTTACATTTTAAAGAACACTAAAAGTAAGCTTGCTAATGCACTCATTTAAAAGATAGGGCCAATTTATGGAAAAAATAGACAAACTAAAATGTCGATTTCCGCTGTAGGCAATGGCAGATTTAATAAGCCATATAAAAGCTATTTATAAATTATATAATAAAACAGATATGTACTTTTTAGCTGGTGAATACGATGTGATTAGTAGTGATAAATTAATATTGACCTTGGCTATCGCCTCGGTCAATATTAATTTTTTCAGTACATAAAAACACATCATATTCACCAGCTAAAAAGTCCATATTTGTATAATATGCAATAATGTCTGTATATATTACAATATATCACAATATTAAATTTTTCATTGCAATACCCAGTCCAGATTAAATGAAAGAGATGTTAACAAATTTTAAACATAGAATTAAATTACAGTTCTATACATGTTAAAGCTGTGAATTTTCTATATTAATGTCATATTATTCAATATTTGAACTTTAAAATAATGTGGAAATTTGTTGATATTGAAAATTGTAATTGGTTTATTTCCTATACTGTTGTGTAAGTATGCTAAAAATAGTGTTAATAAAACAACAAACTGATGAATTTTATATACATGTATCAATAGTAGGGCTGTAACTTATACTGGACTAAAATTCAGAGCTTGACATTAATATGGTTCCGGTATAATTGTTACATCTAAGATCACTGGATCTTGATTCAAACCAAATATTAATCAAAATTCTAATAACTTAAAGTTTTGAATAAAACCCTTAAAACATTTAGTTCTACAATTTTTCTTCAGAAAGTCAGACTTGAACATAATGCTTAATAATGGCAGAAAACCAACAGCTGAATTTGATTTTACACTGTAACAGAATAATAAAAACAAAGGTTAAAGGCTTTTCAATTTTCTTTATCATTTTAACTTGTTTCCATTCCAAAATCATGTAGAATTTTTGATTCTATACATAATAAATCGGTTCATGGGTTAAAATTTCAGTAAGTAAGTCTATGGACCATACACATACTCCTAACTCAGCCATTGGCCCCAGTAAATATCACATATAGTCCAAATATTTTTATTTTTTGATAAAGTTTTAACTTTTAATGTGATATAATTATATAAACATTTCAAACATCTGTTCATAGCTAATACTTAACCATTTTTATAACATTATTTTTCATAGCAACCAATATATTGCATTACAGGTTGACTGTTTCACAATATATTGTGGTACATCATAACAAGGGTTTGATCATATTATTGCATTCAAAGAATAAGTCATTATTTTAAAGATCAAGTGAAATTTCAAGTCAAGGTTTTCATAAATTTTAAAATGAAACATTTAAAAAGGGGAATTAACAATTTGTATTCTAACGTTACAATAATAAATCCAAAGCTAAACAAAGGTAGAGCAATGTTTCTATAATGTGGTATACTATTTAAAAATTTAATTTATTATTATTTGAGAGGAACAAAAATATTAAATACTAAAAATGAGAAACAGTTTGTGCCATGTCGGTATCAAATCAGCTAATTTATCAAATATTTATTGTCATTTATAAAACAGGCTCTTTCAGAGAGCAACTTATACCACAACAGCTCACTTTGAAAACCATACCATTTGAAGAATTGCTTGAATATGTCCATTGTTAATAAGATTTTGCATTATATGTGTTGTATCTAATGCTTTGATGTATTGTCTTAATAAGTTACCTTCGTTAAATAGAGTTTATTATTATTATTATTATTATTATCATTTTTACCCGTAAAAAAAAATTTCTTAAATGTTTCAAAATATGAAATGGTTTTCCATCTTTTCCATCTAGATGTAAATACTTGTCTGGAAATATGGTATATAAAGCGATGAATAAATTATCACCAGCATATATTTCTAATCTAATTCTGTTATCTCAAAATAAAACGTACTAAGATCAACACATATAAACGACCTAAAAGAAATTAGTTGAAACGAACTTTTTATTATTCTAGCATGGAGTTATGGAACATTATTCCTTTTATAAAGAAATTTTTCAAGTCTTAAATTGAAGTCTTAAATTGTTTAAATTACATTTCCAACTTTTATTATTATCTAAAGATGAATTATAGACAATTTACCTATACTGTTTTATAATATTATGTCTGTCTTGTTTGTTGATTAAGATTTACTGAATGTTGTAATATAATATGTCCATTGCTACGTTTATGTTTTGTTGAAGGCCTTGTTGAAAATAAGATTTTGCATTATATGTGTTGTATCTAATGCTTTGATGTATTTTCTTAATAAGTTACCTTCGTTAAAAAAAGAGTTTATTATTATAGTTATTATGTACTGCAGGTTATTGGACATTTAGCGAAAAAAAGAAGGAAGAAAGACTGAAAGAAAAAAAGGATACATTCTGTATATATTTACTAAATATGTACATAATGTATGTTTTAAATAAATAAATAAATAAATAAATAAATAAATAAATAAATAAATAAATAAATAAATACATAAATAAATAATCTGATATGGAAGACATAGTTTATGAGGTATATAGCAATAGAATTACATAAAAATGACAACAATGCTTTGTTATTCCGCGAAATTATAGCACGTCCATGATTTCCGGCTGACGTCAAAGTTCCGGCTGACGTCATTCTGTGTTTACTTTATTTTCCTTTCGTTAAATCTACTTATATTCATTTCTATATAATATTTTTGTTCATATTTATTTTGAAAATCAACTGTAAAACATATTTATTCCGTGTGAAATAGCACCAGGGATACAGACGAGCATGCATAGGAGGTATATCCCATATTCGCCTGTAACCTGTGTTCTTCTGAAACAAAGATGGGACAATGTTGTCTTTAAAAGCCACAGAAAGAAAGTTCGTGCAGGTATATACTTCTTTTCCTTCCTTCAATATGTAAATTATTTATATTCGCGTATTCTGCCAAATATATTCTGGGTTCGCTTGAATCTGTGCATTCTGATAAGTAACCGTCTTAATTATAGTCTACAGTAAGTAACCTTAAATATAGTAGGTCTGTGCAACATGAATGTAATTTGTTACTTTGATTTTACGCAATAGTAATGATAGAAACTATAAATTATATATAGTCCTTAAGGATAAAATCTAATAAGCTGACCCCGGAACTAATCAAGTATGTGTTATCATGAATTTTTCATAGTTTAAAAAAAATAATATGAGCCGCGTCACGACAAAACCAACATAGTGCGTTTGCGACCAGCATGGATCCAGATCAGCCTGCGCATCCGGGTAGTCTGAGTCTGTTCGTTTACCAACTCTATTACAAGTAGAGAAACTTATAACGAACAGCATGGATCCTGATCAGACTGCGTGGATGCGCAGGCTGGTCTGGATCCATGCTTGTCGCAAATCAACTATTTTGGTTTTGTCGTGACACGGCTCATATTATTTTTTTTAAACTATGAAAAATTCATGATATCAATTGGCGACAGGTGAGAAGGCCTCAAAAATATAAGTGTGCCTGTCGAGCTCCATTTTGAAAACAAGGTGTGTTTCGGTTTTTGTCCAGGTATAAAATATAACATTTTGACCCTTAAAAGAGACTTCATAATCGGCAACCTGTAACGGAAAAGATCACTTGTATCCCTGTAATCAGTTACAACTAGTTGTACAGAAAAATAGTTAACGATTCATCGTTTCTCATATTAAAGGCACATTATGCCTTAGTAGCAAATACTTTTTTACTACTTTAGGAAGGGCAAACAAGAGTATTATAACGTCTAAATGATAATTTAAGAGCTGGCTTGGTACCTGAAGTAAGTAGCTATAAAGTGAAATAATGTGTTATTAAAGTAGCAAAAGGTTAACACAGTAGTATTTAACTGTTATACAAAATACTTAATCACTATAACTGTCCTTATTTTCAAAAAGCAACAAATAGAAAAAAACATGTTCACATAATTGGACAATAACTAATTTTTTGCAAACCAAAAATAAAGAACTTTTTTAGAAGTGAAAAATAACAGCAATTCTGAAACGTTATGTGTCTTTAAAACGACTGACAGCTAAACAAATATACTGAAATGTCTAATGCATTATCCGAACATTATTTTATTTGGAACTGTATGATACGTAATATTCTGAAATAATGCAAAACTCTGCTGCATTTTCTCTTTGACATAGATAACGCATCATTATCTGGCCACATTATACATGTATTATGCCCCATTTGTTCCAATTTTCATGGCAAAAACAAATTTTTGTTTTAGCGAAGGCTGTGATTGACAACAAGACTCCAAGAGAATATCGTCATGTGATTATCAAACTTAAAAAACATCAGGTTAGACATTTCTTTACAATGAAAAGCCATGTGCTATAAGAAGTACAGCCGAACTTGGGAGGGCCTGTGCAAATTTATTCGAGAGATCGGTAGTTCGTGCCAACCGGGGTTGAACTTTTATTACGTTGATCATATGCCTAAAGGTTTTCCAGCTTGCATCGGAATGATAAATAAGTCAATATAATTGTTTGTTAGTACATCTGTTCTAATTTCACATCACATAAATCAATACAATTTTTATGCATCATATAATTTTCTCTCCGCAATGGTTACCGCAAAATTGTAACGTATACATAAAAAAGTCACAATCTATTATTTCAGACATAAGGGTTTCTGGTTTTAGAGTTAATTTGCAAGTATAACTAGTTATTCACGGGCAGGTGTAATATGGTTGACAATAAAAATGCAGTATTCTCTGAAGTAAATAAAAACATTTGCATATCCCGGATAATGTATTAGGCCCTAACAATTAATATGATGACTTTCATAAATCCGCCTAGTGCCTAGCTTGAAAATTGAAGAGACTCGTTCTGAATTTCTATATATATATATGAGCTGCGTCACGACAAAACCAACATAATGGGAATGCGACCAGCATGGATCAAGACCAGCCTTCACATCCCCGCAGTCTGATCCGGATCCATGTTGTTCGCTATCAGTTTCTCTACTTGTAATAGGGTTTGTAAGCGAACAGCATAGATCCTGATCAGAGTGCGCGGGTGCGCAGGCTAGTCTGGATCCATGCTGGTCGCAAACGAACTATATTGGTTTTGTCATGGTGCGGCTCATATATTAAGATATAAGATTTCAACTTATATACCGTATATGTACGCAATCCGAATCAAAGGCAATCCGAATAACATCATTTAGTTTCTGTTTTGTTCATCAATAAAAAAAATGATACGTTCTTTATGTTTCCATAAAAAAAGAATCAGTTAATATAAGTTATCAAACATGTAAAGAACTGTTTTGAGTGACCCAGAACTACTTGAATGACAAGTTGTTTGGATAACAATTGTTTTAATTAAATGAAGGCTTTAATATTTTCAAATGACCTGTTCTGTACGTAGTTGCTGTTAAATGTTTTTCTAATGTTTTGAAATAAGCAATTTATTTTTTTTTTCATGTTGATTTCTATTTTTTTCTTCATCAGTATTTATTGTAAAGATTTCAAGAATTCTTATATAGCTTGGATCTTGAATTACTTTACCTTTCTTAACATTTTAGTTAATTTTTCTCAATATAGATTTCCTTGAATTATTTTGGGTTATCTGCAGGCGTGCATCTTTAATAATTCATTTCGTTTGTTTTATATGCGATAAAAGTATGAGGCAGAGAGGGAAGAAGTTATCAACCGAGACAATCAAGACTTGTATAGAAAGATGGACCATATCATGCGTACAGGTGGACGGACAGATCACAAAAATACCTCGCTATGCTACAGTAAAAGGTAAATTACAAATAAAACTGTTGCTACAAAATAAAATTTGAGCCGTGTCACGACAAAACCAACATAATGCGTTTGCGACCAGCATGGATCCAGACCAGCATGCGCATCCGCGCAGTCTGATCAGGATCCATGCTGTTTGCTATCAGTTTCTCTACTTATAATAGGGTTTGTAAGCGAACAGCATGTATCCTGATCAGACTGCGCGGATGCGCAGGCTGTTTTGGATCCATGATGGTCGAAACCCATTATGTTGGTTTGTCGTGACACGGCTTATTTTATCAAGAGAAAATGCTGGCAAAAGGATCAAGTTGTTTGTGGGTTCAATAACCACACAGGACTTTCGGTAAAGCTACTGAGCTATGAAGTTCAATATTTGTGGTCATTTTTACGCAGTAAATTTAATGTTTTTCTATATAATGCTTTCAATGTGTGTAAAAATGACTAAATGTAAGATTATATACTTGGCTTAATGTAAGATTATATACTTGGCTTAATGTAAGATTATATACTTGACTTAATGTAAGATTATATACTTGGCTTAATGTAAGATTATATACTTGGCTTAATGTAAGATTATATACTTGACTTAATGTAAGATTATGTACTTGGCTTAATGTAAGATTATATAGTTGGCTTAATGTAAGATAATATAGTTGGCTTAATAAAAGATTATATACTTGTCTTAATGTAAGATTATATACTTGGCTTAATGTAAGATTATATACTTGACTTAATGTAAGATTATGTACTTTGCTTAATGTAAGATTATATAGTTGGCTTAATGTAAGATAATATAGTTGGCTTAATAAAAGATTATATACTTGACTTAATGTAAGATTATATACTTGTCTTAATGTAAGATTATATAGTTGGCTTAATGTAAGATAATATAGTTGGCTTAATAAAAGATTATATACTTGACTTAATGTAAGATTATGTACTTTGCTTAATGTAAGACTATATAGTTGGCTTAATGTAAGATAATATAGTTGGCTTAATGTAAGATTATATACTTGACTTAATGTAAGATTATGTACTTTGCTTAATGCAAAATTATATAGTTGGCTTAATGTAAGATAATATACTTGGCTTAATGTAAGATTATATACTTGACTTAATGTAAGATTATATACTTGTCTTAATGTAAGATTATATAGTTGGCTTAATGTAAGATAATATAGTTGGCTTAATAAAAGATTATATACTTGACTTAATGTAAGATTATATACTTGTCTTAATGTAAGATTATATAGTTGGCTTAATGTAAGATAATATAGTTGGCTTAATAAAAGATTATATACTTGGCTTAATGTAAGATTATATAGTTGTCTTAATGTAAGATTATATTATTAGTTATAAAGATTGTTGACAGGTTATAGTTTAGTTTAAACATATTTTATTCCTTTCCATTTTTTTTTACAATATGTACAATGCAAATATATAGAGAGAAAATTATATAAATACATTTTGAAAGAAAAAGGGGTGGACCACAAGTTAAAATAACATTAGTAAATTGGTCCGTCCCTAGCACGAATATAAAAAAAAGTATTGATACTATAGATTACACTGAAATGGCATTGAGAAATATAACAAAGTACATGTATTTTAGGAACAAGAAATGATACATCATTTGCTGAGAGGGATGAAGCGGGAGAGAGAGAGAGAGAGGATGTACTTTTGACAGTCGCAATTTATTTTTTTAAGAGTAAAAATCTTCAGCATTAATCAGATTTTATCGAAAACGTTCCGTATGCTTAATATATCTTTGAACTTCTAAAAATATGAAAGAATTGTCTTCTTCAGAAAATGTAATCTTACCAAAAAGAAGAGTACACGTATTTAATGGATGAAAAATGCAAGTAGCATTAAAAAGATGAATACGTTGTGATGTATACCGTCTGCAATTGAAAAAGAAATGTTCAGCATCTTCGAAAGCATAACCGCATTCACAAGATGCATTTTCTCTTAAATGATTTATAAATAAATCAGCATTTAAATTGCTACATTTGTTACGAATTTGAGCATGTAGAACCGAATGTAGTCGATCCCCGATACAGAAAAAATTAGGAACTGTCGGAGGTTTGCATTTCTGTTTAAGTTTGCATTTAAATATATTAAGGGAGGATGAATTTCTTATGTCGGTATCCAAGTTATTCCATAATGACGTTGCTGATGGAATAAATGAGTTTGTAAAAATTTGGGTACGACGTGCTACAGTTGTATAATTATCTCTGTTTCTTAAGACATAAGGTACATTATTAGAAACGGTATCTGGAAAAATATTTAATAAATAATCCGGTAAGGTGCCCTGTTTAGCTTTATACACTGTAACGAGATTTTGAATAGTTCGTCTGTCAGACAATGATACCCAACCGATTTCATTAAGCAAACGCTCAATAGAAACAGACCTTGTTAGGCCAGTGACGATACGGGGGGTATAATTTCACAATTTTTATTTTCTTTCACAAGCTGTTTGACTGTTTTCCAATATGAACGGGGGTTATTTTCACTACTGTCACTTAATGAGTATTCTAAGTCATTATAGTATTTTTGTTTTGCGTGTGTTTTAAGATTATTTACTTTATTTCGAAGTTGTTTATATTTAACCCAATCGGTAATTTCTCCGGATTGGACAGCTTTTACTTTTTGACGATCTCTTTTACAGGAAGTAAGACGAATAATAGAATCGTACCAGGGTCTGTCATTTGGTCTGATAGTTATGTAATTAGAAGCGATACACTGTTACGCAAGCTCCATAAATTTTACATTAAAGTTTTCGGTTGCTTCATCGAGAGTATTAGAGTAAAGAAATGACCAGTCTGTTGTTATTATTAAATCGTTAAGTTTCTCAAAATCAGCGCGATTGTAATACCACACAAGTCTTTTGTAAGATACTGATTGGGGTAATTTAAATTTGATATAAATATAAGTGCCAAAATGATCACTGATATTCCTCGGTGTCTCTAAAATACCCGAATGTAAAATTAAATTCTGGTCTGAGATAGCAATTAGATCAATAAGAGTTGACGAGTTGTCTGCGACTCGTGTCGGTTCCGTAATAACATTATACATATTATTCAAAATTAATACATCGCGAAGTTTATGGTTCCTTATGTTTAACTGGTCTTCATTAATGTCACCTACAAATAGGACTCTTTTTGATTTATTATAAGCATTTTCTAGACAAATATTCAATCAAATCCAAAAGTCTACATTTGTATTAGGTGGACGATAAATATAACCTATCAATTTTTTTTCATTACCGTCTTTTATTTCAATCCAAAGTGATGTGGTAAGGTATTTTCCACATCAATTAGCCTTTTAGATACGATTTTTTCATTAACATAAACTAAAAGTCGACCAGAGTGACACGTGTTGTCTTTACGGTATATTTCGCTGAAATTAGTTAGTTTCAAACTGTCAATATTGATTGAGTTGTCCAAATGTGTTTCCGTAAAACAGATAATATCAAAGTCTAACCAGTTATCTGTACTATATTCAATTTTAATCCGAATACTTCTTATATTCTGATGAAAAACTGATAGAGATCCGTCCCTGATATCATTAGGCCCTGGGTTTAATTCAATATCAAAATAAAATTAAAATCAAAATTATAAGATTTGATAAAAGAAATGAAAAAGTAAGTTCAACGACTGAGATAAACTGTTCGATGCTTCGAACAAGTTAACAAGTTCATTTGTCAATTGATTACCAACATATAAAGAAACAAATACCCCAAAATAAAGATTGACAATATTCAAATAGATAAACCGGGTAGCACGTCGTATTAATAACACATACTGCATTAAATAGATAAAAACTTTCATTAACGCTTTATACGGCAACCTCTGAGTGCTGTTATAAAAAAGACCGATCGCCGCGCGGTAAGCACTTAAATCATTCATTACCTAAACGGATACAGGCTAAATGCTAGTAAGATTGTACTGACGACGGCGACAGACAGGTAATCAAAACTTAGCAACATCACGCAAAAAATACATCATAAAAAGACTGGATTCTATAGAAAACTAGAAATGTGTCCATAGGACACGGGTGCCCCCACCGCGCCACTGTTCTGTCAATCTTTTTACTAAGTCAAGGGAAATAACTCTACAAATACTGGATATATCCACAAGCGAAATCCCAGGTGCAAATTTAAATATGCTGAGCAACCTGCCCATAAGGTTTAATGACTATGTCAAATCCTTTTTGAGTAACTTGCGACACAAGTTGAAAATTGCAAAAAAAATTTAAGTGAAGGGCAATAACTCTAAAAATACTGAATAAATCCAGACGAAAATACCTGGTGCACAACTGCACATGCTGATCAATATTCCTGTAAAGTTACATGACTCTAAGTCAAATACTTTTTGAGTTACATGCGACACTTGTTGAAAATTGCAAAATTTTACTAAGTCAAGGGCAATAACTCCGAAAATACTAAAAATATCCACATGAAAATACCCAGGTGCACAACAACACATGCTGATCAACATTCCTGTAAAGTTTCATGACTCTAGGTCAAATACTTTTTGAGTTACATGCGACACAAGTTGAAAATTGCAAAATTTTACTAAGTCAAGGGCAATAACTCTGAAAATACTAAAAATATCCACACAAAAATACCCAGGTGCACAACTACACATGCTGATCAACATTCCTGTAAAGTTTCATGACTCTAGGTCAAATACTTTTTGAGTTACATGCGACACAAGTTGAAAATTGCAAAATTTAACTAAGTCAAGGGCAATAACTCTGAAAATACTAAAAATATCCACAAGAAAATACATAGGTGCACAACTACACATGCTGATCAACATTCCTGTAAAGTTTCATGACTCTAGGTCAAATACTTTTTGAGTTACATGCGACACAAGTTGAAAATTGCAAAATTTTACTAAGTCAAGGGCAATAACTCTGAAAATACTAAAAATATCCACACGAAAATACCCAGGTGCAAAACTACACATGCTGATTAACATTCCTGTAAAGTTTCATGACTCTAGGTCAAATACTTTTTGAGTTACGTGCGGCACAAGTTGAAAATTGCAAAATTTTACTAAGTCAAGGGCAATAACTCTGAAAATACTAAAAATATCCACACGAAAATACCCAGGTGCACAACTACACATGCTGATCAACATTTCTGTAAAAATTCCTGACTCTAAGTCAAATACTTTTTGAGTTACGTGGGACACAAAAGTGAACGGACGGACGGACGGATGGAAGGACGGACGGAAGGACGGACGGACAGACGGACAAGGGTAAATCTAAATGCCCGCCACTAACGTGGGGGCACAAAAAGAAAAATAAGACAGATATGTATAGGTTAGAGTGCATATTGGGTGTTCTTCGTAAATAAGAAAGCTAAAAAGGAGCGGAGCTTGCGAAGCGACTGTAGCTTTCTTATTTACGAAGAACATCCAATATGCACTCTAACCGGCTTAGTGCTCCGCCCACTTGCATTTTATAATATAAAACGTCCAGTTTATATAAAATCTGTTCTATTAAGATTTGTAACCTGAAAATTTGAAAAATCTTCGTCGAAGATTGGCTTAAACAAATTGGCGAGCACTATTGGATGTTCTTCGTAAATAAGAAAGCTACAGTCGCTTCGCAAGCTCCGTTCCTTTTTAGCTTTCTTATTTACGAAGAACACCCACTATGCACTCTAATAAAAGAAAGTACATTATCATCAATATGGAAAGCAAATAAAGATATTTTGATTTGTTAAAAATAGAGAAAAAAATATACTTGTTCAGAAATAACACATATTCACATATTATTAATTGGGAACACTTACCTGAGACAAACTTCGGAACTTGCACAATACATATTTATAACAACAATAATAAAAATAATGAAAATTATAATAATTATATAGAGGATATTTGTTTGTTTGTGTGTAAGATGAAATTTTATTTCATCGAGTGGGCTTTAAAAACAGTATTCTCACGAGTGGCGTAGCCACGAGTGAGAATACTGTTTTTAAAGTTCACGAGATGAAATAAAATTACATCTTACACAACAAACAGACAAATTTTCTTTTTATTTTATGCTTTAAAACAAGTTAAAACGAAATTTCCATAATTTTAACGTTAATATTAAAATCTGTTTCCCCCATTGAGAGCCCCATTTAGAGGGAATTTCTCATTAAAAACAAGAAGTCTTGAGCTGAAAAACAAGTCCGCCAATCAAGGTTAAATGACGGTGATATTTATTCATTTTATTAAAAAAAAATGAATGATCGCTTGTTTTAATAATAAAAACAAACAATTCTTGTAGGAGAAAAATTCCAACCATCCATCCATATTTCTGTTACTTACTGCGAATTTGTATTAGACCTGGCTTTGTAAAATGTAAGCGGCAGCCATTTTTTAAAGTTGTGTATTTCATGGGAGGAAAATAATTGTGTAAGATTCAGAAGGATATAATTTGGATTTGTTAGTCATACACCTTTTTAAAAGAAAGAAAACTTATTTGAGGATTGTAACAGACAAAAAATAAGTGTTGACAGAAGTGAAAACATTCAGAAAAGAAGCTAGGAAAATGGAAAACTTGGAAGCTTGCTAAGGCATTGTAAGGAACGCTGGGTTGTTTTACTTACTAGTATTTTACGAGTGATGGCTGTCAATGCTTTTCAATTTTTCATAAAGCATACGGCAGTTATTGCTCGTAGGATACTTTAATATGCCCAAATGTCATCAAGAGCAGTTTTAGCATGGGGAAGGAATGTATTTTTCAGAC